TGTTGGCCAGGCTGCCCTCGAACTCCTGACCTCGTGATCCATCCCTGCCTCAGTCTCCCAAAGTGCTGAGATTACAGGCATGAGCCACCGTGCCGGCCTAAACTGTCATTTTAATAACTGTGATCGACATCAACAAGTTAGAGTAGAAAATCCCAGCCTTCCTTCCCCTCCACAAATAGCAACGTTTTGCAACTATCTATGAATAAAAATAAAAATTTATGAATTTTCAGAGTTAAATGTTCATCCCTTAGCATTTTAATGAAAATCATCTTTTTAAATATGCACAACTAACAACCATTTTAAAAGATCTGGAACTACATATTTTTAACACAGTGCCCTAATATTAAGACAATTTTGCATCTTTATATTTTCAATTACAAATCTCCACAACGGAACCAACTAACAAGATTCTGTACTAACCTTGAAAAGTCAGTTACTCTCTGAACACCAGTCCTTTACTATAATTCTATTAGTCATCATTATTATTGATAATATACCTACTGCATAATTTAGATTGTGATCAAATTCCACTTAATATTAAATTAAGCTAAATACGGAAGTTAATTACAGAAATATTATAGTACTTTGAGATTTGTTTTGTAGTCAGTTACATAGTTAAAACAGAGCTCTAAAAGTAATTAACTCTACCTTCTGCACAAAGTGCTTGAAATCTTAGAGATTACAGGTTCCCTTAGAACATCATGGAAAACTTTCCTCTCTGAGCCAGAAACTGAGTAACTCACCTTCAACTTCAATTTACAGTTATACTCATGGTCCAGCCCAGTGGCTCACACCTGTAATCCCAGCACTTTGGGAGGCCAAGGAGGGTGGATCACTAGAGGTCAGGAGTTCAAGGCCAGCCTGACCAACATAGTGAAACCCCAAATCTACTAAAAATACAAAAATCAGCGGGGCATGGTGGCACACGCCTGTAGTCCCAGCTACTCGGGAAGCTGAGGCAGGAGAATCTTGAACCTGGGAGGTGGAGGTTGCAGTGAGCCAAGATCGTGCCACTGCACTCCTGCCTGGGCAACAGAGCAGGATTCCATCTCAAAAAATATATAAAATTATACTCAGCCCAAGGCCATATAAATTGCAATGCTATTACAAAGTTTAATATACATTAATACATCAGTTAAAAAGCACTTTAGGCTGGACATGGTGGTTCATGTCTCTAATTCCAGCACTTTAGGAGGCTGAGGCAGGCAGATCACCTGAGGTCAGGAGTCCAAGACCAGCCTGACTAACATGGTGAAAACCCATCTCTACTAATAATACAAAAATTACCAGGGCATAGTGGTGGGTGCCTGCCCAAGTACTCAGAGGCTGAGGCAGGAGAATCGCTTGAACCCGAGAGGTGGAGATTGTAGTGAGCAGAGATCGCACCACTGCACTCCAGCCTAGGCGACAGAGCGAGATTGTGTGTGTGTGTCTAGCTCTGTCACATTCACACACTCTCACACAGCATTTTAATGATACAAATGGGCAGGAGGTTTCTTTGGAGTAATGGAATGTTCTAAAGGAGGAAGACTCTGGCAGTGGTTATACAACTCTGTAAATACACTATCATGCAACTGTACACTCAAAACAGGTTAATTTTGTAAGATATACATTCTACCTCAATAAAACTTTTTTTCAGGGCACCTTAAATGTCCAGAAGTACAAAACCTAAGATGCTACTCTAGGTATGAGAAGTACAAAAGTACAAAGGCTATGCTATTTTATGTAACAGCATAGCCCACTATCAAATGCTTAATTAACATCTTCCCATTCTCTCTCATCCCCACAGATTTTCAGGGCTGCAAACATATACAAATCAAGTTTTTATCTCTTTAACTATAGATTCACTGTTAAATGCAGAATAATGTGCAGGCCATCATCTGTTTACATACTATTTTTTAAAGACTACCCTAATTTTAGGTAAAATACTCAGATCTTCAGCGCTTCTCTGGTTCCAATTAATTTGTGAAATGAAGTTTCAGTTCTACTAGAAAAACTTTAATCAAGGTCTACAGACCACTGCCGCAAGGCCTGATAACTGACTTTGAAATTCATCAATGGCAATTCAGACTTATAGCCTAATGTGTGTCTTCTGTGTATATAGGGGGTAAGAGGAGGGGAAAAAGGGAAATTCAAATCACCTGTACACTGAAAAGCACCACACACACACACACACACACACACACACACAAACCCCAAGTAATACACTAAAATGTTAACAGCTCTCATCTCAAGGCAGCTTCTAGTTTTTGCTGAGTTCCAAAATTCCCTCAGTGACTATTATCTTCTAAATTAGAAAAAATTAAAATTGCTCCTATGCTAAACGGAAGCCAGACTCAAAACACTACACAAAATATTGTATGATTCTATATACATAACATTCTGAATAAAGCAAAACTATGAAAACAGAAGACACTAGAGGCTGAGGTTGAGGAATGGCTGACTAAAAAGGGCCTGACAGAAATCTGGGGGCTACGAATCTTGATAAATGCTGACAACTGTGTAACCACCACCACCACAGTTAAGGTGACAGATAATCTTGATGATTATCAGCAAAAAATGCTTATCTTACTGTATGTAAATTAACTGCAACTTTTAAATTCTAATGATTAAAAGGCAATAAATTTCTGTACAATAAGCCAATGTTTTTCAAGTCAGCAGTTTATTGGATACAAAATACTGGATCACTGAACTTCAAATCTCTTAAAGAGAGATCTGTGCAGGGGTCCATTGTTAAGGTAACAGTAAGCTGCAGACCTAGAATTCCCATTTGTTCACTTCAAATCCAGGACTCTCTTCTACGTCACCATTCTCATTCTTCCAGAGTTCTGAAGACCAGTGTCCACAAAGTGCATGTGCCAGTGGATTATGGCTGGACATAAAATTCCGAATGTTCAAGTGTACATTATTTCAGTGCACACACGTGACTAGTGTCCTTTCCAACCCCGCCAAAGTACCACCTCACTTTGTGAGGCAAATGAGTTACGGAGTCAAAGCTTAAGAAGAACCAAGCAGTAAACTGTAGAGCGTGCAGAGATCAACAATACATACTTCAGAGTTCCAAAATGGGGATATTTGATTCCTTGTGAACGGACTGGGGAAAAAAAAAAATACCATGAAAAACCAAAGTAAGACTGCAAACTATCTTTGAAACAAATTGACTACCTTCACCTTATTAAAAAAAAGGAAAACATAGCTTGTATAGCAGGCTAATGAAAAATATACTTTGCTAAAAAGAAATGGCTACCACATGCATGATGTAGAATAACGTGTTAAAGCAAAATAATTGCTTTATTCTTTCCATCATGCAAAACAAAAATGCCTATCTCCGTTATACAAGAACTATACAGCCAAATCGTGAGAATCTAAAACTTGTCGGGAAAGGAGTGGGGGATGATGCAAAACGACTTATCTACGCTTGATAGGAAAAACGTGGTTAAGTCTGTTCTTTGCGCCGTCTTACCCAGCAAACCATACATGCAGTCGTCCAGGGAAGGCAACCACCAAGTTTCAATAACAACAAAAGTCAATTAAGTATCAACTCAAATTTCACCTAGGTCATTTGTCTGACATCAAGTCTTAAACCTAGACCGTAACGTTAATGTAACTACTCACGCATTAACTTAAAGTGTCATTTCCAACAGGCACTGTTCTACTTTACGTTTACCACCAAAGGAGATTTAAACTTGTGAAAAGCTTAGGGAGATCCTTTATACGCTGTGATTCCTCATTACGCTAGTACCACGTGAGAGTTAAACCAAATCCACAAAGCTAATCAGTAAACTAAGAAAAGAGAAACAAAACGCTGAAAATAGAAAATCATGGCCAAACAAAATAAAAACTCGTGGAATAAAAGGTCCGCTGAAATGAAAACCTGTGAGAATTCACTTTGGAGGCACACAATTCTCATGCATATTAGAAGAAGGCCCTTCATAAAAATAGCCAAGACTCTCAAACATTTGAGATGCTGGCTCAGTGAGATTGACGGACAGACAACAGCTGGGGAGATTTTGTATTGATCTTGTAACATCCTGGCATACTTCGGGAGAATGAGAAAAGAACGCCATAGTGGCAAAAAAATAAACTAGTTGATTTCATTTTCAGATATGTGAACGCTGAAAGCCCCTACCAAATTCCTGTACTATTTCTCTTACGTTTTCCAGCCCCGATTTCATAGTAATGCATGTTCTTCCTTCCCAACCAAACAAAAAACCTCGCGGGAAAAAAAACACACACACCTCCCTCCAAAAACAGGGGCAGTGATACAAAGAAATTGGTCACCTCTCCGCCTATCTCCCTGATCCATTTCGCATTTTAAACCTTACTTTAAAGCGGAGAACTCTCTCCTTTTCTTCCGTAATAAAGGAACTAAGGCGCCGCCCAATCTCCCAGGCCGCAAAAATATTCCAACCCGCCACAATTCAAGGTTTTCTGCTTTTCCGTCTTCGATCCTATAACCCTAAATCCGGCACCCCCATTCTCCTCAGACGCTGAAGATTTGTTGGCCCGAAACTCAAATACAAGGGGTGAATTCCAAAGATTCCGCGCTACACGCGCCCCAGGGGGCGGGGAGGGGTCGCAGGCGCGGGCTGAGGCGCTCGGGCCGGGCAGATCCGCGGGCGGGGTAGCGGGCGCGACCACACAATCCCACCACCTCCTCACGACTCCCCGCCTCCCCGGCCTCGGGCCTGCTCCGAGGAGCTCCCGTCGTCCCGCCGCCGCTCAGCTGCTTCCCACCGGCCCGCCAAGAGCCGCAAGGAAGATTCCTAACTAGGAAAACGCAAGAGGTGTCCGACGTGTGGTTTCAAAACATAACGGAGCCCCGGCCCCCGAGACCGTTAAACCGCGGGTGGAGGGGGGAGAAGCAAGGAATCCCGTGGCCTCCGGCTTGGGCCTAGCCGCCTTTCCCACCCCCAGCCTCACTCTCCGGGACCATCAACCCTCCCTCAAACGCGCCCCAGCCCCTAGAACACTCGACAGAGTGGCAAAGGGGTCAGTACCTTGTAGAAAGCCCCGTTGGAGCCGCGAACCTCCACCGTCAGCTCCGCCATGTTGGAACCGCAAAGACCGCCGGGAAGAGATTCTAGAAACTTTCCAACCAGAGGGGAGGAGGGGGGAGGGGCGCGGAGGCGGGGAAGGGGAGGGGACAGCAGGGCGGGGATTCGGATCCCCGCCCCTCACCCCGGGGTCTCAGCGTGCGGCCCCGACTCTCCAGGTGGGATCCCTGCGCTCCCTGCATCACCCGCCTCGGGCTCCGCCTGCCGCCCTCTACGTCGGCCTCGCCTCACGACACAATCACCGACCTTTGTTGACCCGCCCTAGGGTCCCCGCCCCCACGTGGCAGCTGTTGGCGCCGCTCGCGGGTGATTCCTCCTGCCGCCCCGGAATCATCGGTTCAGGCTCAGCCTGCCCCGCGCGTCGCGTTCGCTCGCGCCCCGCATCCAGACCTGAAACTTCTGGGAGGGCTGGATGCCCGGGAATGGCGTTCTCACCCACCTTTATGGTACCCCAAGTTGTGTCGCCCCGCTCTTGTTTTTTAAAAAAAGTCGGGCCTTCTCCTGACTCAAATTCCCCAGTTCCACACCCCTCAAACGAGTTCGCCCAGCCCTCTCCCCACCTGTTACCACTTTGGCTATTTAAAAGTCACACTAGGCCGGGCGCGGTGGCTCACACCTGTCATCCCAGCTCTCCGAGAGGCCGAGGCGGGCGGATCACGAGGTCAGGAGTTCTATACCTGCCTGACCAACATGGTGAAACCCCCGTCTCCACAAAAATTTAGCCGGGCGTGGTGACGCGCGCCTATAGTCCCAGCTGCTCGGGAGACTGAGACGGGAGAATCGCTTGAACCCGGGAGGCGGAGGCTGCAGTGAGCCGAAATCGCACCACTGCCCTCCAGCCTGGTAACAGAGCGAGACTCGTCTCAAAAAAAAAGAAAAGTCAAACTATTTTCAAAACTCTGTTCACACCCTGGAGCAGAGTTTAGATGAATTCGCATTATTAAAAGCAGAGGGCTGTATGTGGTGGCTCATGCCTGTAATTTCAGCTGAGGTGGGCAGACCACCTGAGGTTGGGAGTTCGAGACCAGCCTGACCAAATCCCGTTTCCACTAAAAATACAAAATTAGCGGGCCTTGTGGTGGATACCTGTAATCCCAGCTACCTTGAGAGGCTGAGGCAGGAGAATCACTTGGCTGGGGAGGCGGAGGTTGCAGTGAGCAGAGATAGCCCATTGCACTCCGGCTTGGTCAACAAGAGCGAGACTCCGTCTCAAAAAAAAAAAAAAAAAATCAGTCAGATAATAGAGCAGGAGACCACTTTTTCCTCTGCTTAGTGAATGTAAAGTTCCGCAGATAGATAGATTCAAAGCAGCACCGTCTCCGGTTTTGTAAGCATTATAACAAATACTTTGAGTATAGATTTTATCAAGTTGATACTGAAGCTTTTTTCCTACACAAGGCCTTTGGAAATAGTACTATAAGGGCTCCTTGTTATTACCATTTTCGCAGAAAAACTTTAAAGAAAGGATACTTTGCTAACATTCTATACTTCTCATGAAATGCCCACTGACCTGGTCTTTCAGATTCTGAAAAAAAAAACAAAAAATATGTACATAACATTTTATGAGCATGTCTGCATCTCTGAAGGTTCTGAAAGAAAATGGGCTGTGAAAGAGTTCGTTCTTGTTATGTACAGGATATTCTCTTTATGGATTTAAGACAGGGTCTCACTCTGTCACACAGGGTGGAGTTCAGTGGCATGATTATGTTGCAGTCTGGACTTCCCAGGCTCAGGTGATTCTCCCACCTCAGTCTCCTGAGTAACTGGGACTACAATATTTATTTATTTATTCATGTCTTCGACAGAATCTCACCCTGTCGTCCAGGCTGGAGTGCAGTGGTGCGATCTTGGCTCACTGCAACCTCCACCTCCTGGTTTCAAGCGAGTCTCCTACCTCGCCCACCAGTAGCTGGGATTACAGGTGCCTGCCACCACGCCGGGCTAAGTTTTTGTATTTTCAGTAGAGACGTGGTTTCACCATCTTGGCCAGGCTGGTCTTGAACTCCTGACTTCGTGATCCACCTGCCTTGGCCTCCCAGAGTGCAGAGATTACAGGCATGAGCCACGGCGCCCAGCCTTTTTTTTTTTTTTTAAGAGGGATCTCTATCACCAAGGCTGAAGTGCAGTGGCACAATTATACCTCATTGTAATCATGAACTCTTGGCTACCCCACACTGGGCTGGGATGTTCTTTTTAAAGTGTTGATCATATTGAGAAAAATGTAAACAAACTAATGAGTATTTTTTTTTTCTGAGACGGAGTCTCACTCTGTCACCAAGCTAGACGCCATTTATTAAGGGTGTCTTATGCTAACACTTTATATGGCATCTCTTTATGATCCATTATAATAGAATTATAATGTCCTATTCGCTTTTTAAAAATGTTTTCTTTAGATATAATTCTCCGATTTATAGTGTACAATTCAGTGGTTTTTAGTATATTCACAGATTTGTGCAACCACCACCACCGCAGCCAATTTTAGAATATTTTCACCACTGCAAAAATAACCCCAGACCTGTTAGCAGTCACTCTAGATTTCACCCCAACTCCCAGGCCCTAGGAAATCAGTAATCTGTTTTTTACCTGTATATATTTGCCTAGTCTAGATGTTTAACATAAATGAAATTGCAGAATATGTGGTGTGTTATGATTGGCTTTCTTTTTTCTTTCTTTCTTTTGTGTTTCTTTTAAGACAGAGTCTTGCTCTGTTGCCCGGGCTGGAGGACAGTGGCTCCATGTCCACTCACTGCAACCTCTGCCTCCTGGGCTAAAGCGATCCTCCCGCCTCAGCCCCCTAAGTAGCTGGGAGTACAGATGTGAATCACCACGCCCACCTAATCTTTGGATTTCTTGTAGAGATGGGCTTTCACCATGTTGCCCAGGCTGGTTTCGAACTCCTGAGCTCAAGCTGTCCACTCGCCTCTGCCTCCCAGAGTGCTAGGATTACAGGCGTGAGCCACTGCACCTGGCCTATGACTGGCTTCTTTCATTTAGTGTAATGTTTCCAAGTTTCATCCATATTGTAGAATGTATTACTACTCATTCCTTTTTGTCAAGTATACTGTCATATCTATACACCACATCATTTTATTAATTCATCAGTTGACATTTGCATTGTTTCTACTTTTTGGCTATTAGGAATAATGCTGCTATGAAAATTTCTTTACATCTTTTAGTAGAGAAAGATGTATGTTTTTGTTTCTCTTGGGTATATAGCTAGAAATAGAACTGCTGACTTGTGATAACTCCATGTTTAAACCTGTTGAGGAATTGCCAGACTTTACCAAAATGGCTGCAGTATTTGCAACCCCATGAGCAGTGTAAGAGGGTCTGAGTTTCCTTTTGCATGAGTGTCTTTCTCTCTTTCTTCTTTCTGTCTTTCTTTCTTTCCTTCTTTCTTTCTTTCTTTCCTTTTTCTTTTCCTCTCTCTCTATCCTTCTCTCTCTCTCTCTGTTTTGGCTTTCAGTTTAATTTTGTTTGTTCTCAATGTGAGTGATTTTGAGTATGGATGCAAAAGTTCCATTTGGGCAGAGGCCAAAGCATTTCAGACTGCCTGAACTCTAAAGAACAAGGACTGTCCCTCTTCAGGCCTTACATACAGAAAACATTTGAATTTGGACCACAGCCAACACTTTACTACTTCTCCTAGGTAGACTTTGTGCTGAGCAACTGAGCTTTATAGCAGCCAGTAACACATGTAAGATCAGACAAGCTCCAGCTGGCAGAACTGGGATTTGAACCCTCTACTTTCCATTTCCAATGCCACATCAATGACTGTTTGCAGCCTCCATGTAATATTCAAAATGGGACACTACACAAAGTTAAAATATTGATATAGATCTATTTTCATCATTATAAAAAGATGTTCATTTTAAAAACAGCATGCATAATCATATTAAAATATATATGTAGTGTGTCTATGCATACATAAAGTCTAAAAGTTAATATTTCCTTATGTTAATGGAGGCTATTTCCAGAAGATGGGTTTATGATTTACATAAACTTTATAATGTCTATATTTTTTGCACCATCTGAATTTTTTTGTATATTTTACTTATTAAAAAAACTTTTTTTATTTTACTATACTTTAGGTTCTGGGGTACATGTGCAGATCATGCAGGATTGTTGCATAGATACGCACATGTCAATGTTGTTTGCTACCTCCATCCCTCCATCACCTACATCTGGCATTTCTCTCCATGTTATCCCTCCCCAACCTCCTCCTACAACTGTCCCTCCTTCCCCCGCAACAGACCCCAGTGTGTGATGCTCCCCTCCCTGTGTCCATTTGTTTTCATTGTTTAACTTCCGCCTGTGAGTGAGAACATGCGGTGTTTGATTTGCTGTTCTGGTGTCAGTTTGTTGAGAATGATGGTTTCCAGATTCATCCAGGTCCCTACAAAAGACATAAACTCATCATTTTTTATGGCTGCATAGTATTCCATGGGGTATATGTGTCACATTTTCTTTGTCCAGTCTATCGCTGATGGGCATTTGGATTGGTGCCAGGTCTTTGCTGTTGTAAACAGTGTCTCTATGAACATACATGTGCATGTGTGTTTATAATAGAACAATTTATAATTTTTTGGATATATACCCAGTAATAGGATTGCTGGGTCAAATTGTATTTCTGTTTCCAGGTCCTTGAGGAATTGCCACACTGTCTTCCACAATGGTTGAATTAATATACACTCCCACCAGCAGTGTAAAATTGTTCCTATTTTTACAGATCCTCTCCAGCATGTGCTGTCTCCAGATTTTTTAATGAACACCATTCTAACTGGTGTGAGAGGGTATCTCAATGTGGTTTTGATTTACATTTCTCTAATGACCAGTAATGATGAGCATTTTTTCATGTTTATTGGCCTCATATATGTCTTCTTTTGAAAAGTGTCTGTTCACATCCTTCGCCCACTTTTGGATGGGTTTGTTTGTTTTTTTCTTATAAATACATTTTAGTTCTTTGTGGATTCTGGATATTAGACCTTTGTCAGATGGGTAGACTGCAAAAAATTTTTCCCATTCTCTTGGTTGCCGGTTCACTCTAATAATTGTTTCTTTGGCTGTACAGAGCTCTGGAGTAAATGGAGTCTCATTTGTCTATTTTGGCTTTTGTTGCCAATGCTTTTGGTGTTTTAGTCATGAAGTCCTCGCCTATGCCTATGTCCTGAATGGTTTTGCCTAGGTGTTTTTCTAGGGTTTTATGGTGTTAGGTCTTATGTTTAAGTCTTTATTCCATCTGGAGTTAATTTTAGTGTAAGGTGTCAGGAAGGGGTCCAGTTACTGCTTTCTGCACACTGCTAGCCAGTTTTCCCAACACCATTTATTAAACAGGGATTCCCCATTGCTTGTTTTTGTC